CCTGCATCGTGACCTATGAACTTCTAACCTCTGCGATTCAATTGTACTGTTTGAGCAGGAGCTGAAAAACGCGACTGAAAAAGTCGCACACTGTTTGCCCAGCTTTAGTCCAATGGAAGAGGAATAAAAAACAAGTCACTGTTATTTTATGTGTTTATGTTATGAAAACCTTCAGAGATCTCAAACCATTAAACACACGTCTTCTTGCTCTGCAGCTGCCAGTTTTAACTGAAAGAATTAAAAACTCTAATTATGCATTTTTTTTTATCTTATATCTCATATCTCAAACTTTGCTGTTGTGTCCAGCTGGGCTGAGAAATGTTACACGTGAAGTACCACAGTTACATAATTTCACACCCACTTCCTCATCACAGAGAAACAGAAAACTATTCCTTGAAACGCAGGTTTGACTTGAGGGTTTTTATGCATTCATCCTCATGGCTGTGGACATCGTATTAGGTGTGCTGGCAACAGAGGATAAGCTTGCTGTAGGTAAAATAAATAAATAATGAATAAATTACAGTATTTTTCAATGCAGCAACTCTTCTCAACTCAAGAGAATGATTTTAAAAGTGTTTGAAAACATGTAAAACATCCAACACTTGCAACAAACCTCAGGCAGACGGCTGTGTAATCAACGTGTGCGTAAACTTTGCAGGTTTACCTTTAGAGTATTCCCACTGGATCGTAGGAACAGGATAGCCTTCAGCTGAGCAGTTTAGTATCACTGCTTTCCCGTAGATGCCATCCTGGTCTTTAGGTTGCACCACAAATTTGGGAGGAACTGCAAGTGAAGAAACCTTACTGTGAGATCTTTACATCTAAAAAGTCACAGGAACATTTCAGTTCAGAATGGGGAAAAAGACCAAGTGAAAGTACAGTGTGGTCCGCAAACATCCGCTTCCTTAAACTCCAGAGAAGTGCAGCCATCCCTCATTTCTTTACATTTTCCAGGAAATAGGAACAGTGATTTATTGAAACGTGTAAACATACATAAATGCAAAAAAGTGTATACAATTCTCACAAGGTTTAGAATTACTAAAGGGCTAAAGCAGAAATGTCAAACTCATTTTATATTGTGGGCCACATGCAGCCACACAAACCTGCCCAGAGGGCCACTTCTGGCTGAAGACATTCTGAACTCTTGTGGGTTTCTTTAAGCAGTCTTCTGGGAAAGTTCTCCCGGCTTCTTGAAGGACATTCATCGATTGTCTTTGGATGCTGGCTGCTGTTTGTTCAATTCTCTATCAGGATGATCCCACAATGTGCACCGTTTGAGATCATTGATGCAGTTAGGTCCATATATATTTGGACAGAGACAAGTTTTTCCTGATTTTTCCAAGTTTTTTACCACAACAAATTTGAATAATAATAATAATAATAATGGATTGGATTTATATAGCGCTTTTCAAGGCGCCCAAAGCGCTTTACAATGCCACTATTCATTTACTCTCACACTCACACACTGGTGGAGGCAGCTACAGCTGTAGCCACAGCTGCCCTGGGGCAGACTGACAGAAGCCAGGCTGCCATATCGCGCCATCGGCCCCTCTGGCCAACACCAGTAGGCAAGTAGGGTAAAGTGTCTTGCCCAAGGACACAACAACCAGGACAGAGAGCCCGGGGACCGAACCCGCGACCTTCCGGTTACAGATACGCTTCCCAACCCCCTGAGCCATGGTCGCCCATTGAAATGAAGTAACTCCGATGCGATTGAACTGCAGAAGGTTGAACAAAAAGACTGCATAAAAATGTGAGGAACTAAAGCATTTTAACACAGTCCCTTCATTTAAGGGGTTCAGTTCTAATACTCAAAGTCTTGAACTCATGGACATCACCAGATGCTGGGCTTCCTACTTTTTAATGTTCTGCCAGGCCTTTACTGCAGTTGCTGTTTATTTGTGGCCCTTTCTGTCTGAAGTTTAGTCTTTAACAGCTGAAATCTTGTTAAAGAGTAAACTTGGCTTTTTCCACAGCGTTGGTGATTCCACCTCTGGGCGGAGTCACCGCTTCATCACTGACAGGCTGCACCTGGAAGTAATTTGGCTGCCAGCGCTCACAATCCCTCTTCGGCAGATTGTCTGATAACCTCAGTTAGTGAAGGCTGTCACAGCTCATGTTTGATACTCATAGTGTTGCTCATACTTACCTGTGCTTCTCTTTCACTCGCAGTAATCCTCTGGGATGTCATTACCTAACCTGCCATAAACTAACCTCTTCTCAGTCGCTGGCCTGCCCGGCTGCCTCACCGCTTCACTGCTGCCTGCCTACATGCCAAACTCACTGGAACATCTCGGACCCTCTCTGGACTCTCTCTCGGCTCACCCAGACCATTTACCCCTTCGCACTTTGCGCCCGCCTGCAGAAAGTAAGACTGCACGCAATCTATTGTGTCTAGAACTCCCTTTGACGTCTGCTTCCTTCAGTTACAGTGACTCCGTGACCCCAGTCTAGCCTCTTCCTTACCTCCACGCCACAGGGTTCCTGTGCGGGCAGTTACCCCGTATCGGGTTTGCTGGCCCTTGAACACGTCAGCTCTTGGGCAACACTCATGGACTCTTTTCATAGCTTGGAATTTTTACTGTTTTGTGATTTTCATGTGTTGTTGTTTATCTATCTATCATAGCCATGCTCTCGTTAATCCTAGTGTTGTTATAGTTCATGGTAATCAGTTTATCACTGTGAAACTCAAGTGCTTAGTTCACAGTGATCTTTATTGTTGTTAAGTTCCTTCGGTAGAATCTCCAAGGACCTCGGGTGTAGGTTTAGTTACACTGTTGCTTCCTTCACTCTCTGTAAAGAAAGTGTTGCCTTCACTCTTTCTCCGTGCTTCCGTGTGCTGTCTACACTCGAGTCCATACTTCTGGTGGCCACTGGGCCGCGACAGCAAGATCAGGTGACTGACTGGTCCACTCAAGTATATTTGCCTTCTTTGCTTCAATAAACCCCTGGGTTGCTTTAGCTGTATGTTTTGGGTAATTGTCCAACTTTATTAAGAAAGAACTTTGACTGCATTTAGCTGGATGTGAGCAGAGAGTATGTCTCCGAACACCTCAAAATTCATTCAGCTGCTTACTGTATCACATCGTCAATAAACAGTGTCCCACTGTCGCTGGCAGCAGTGCACACCGAGGCTAACACACTGCCTCCGCCCTGTGTTACCAATGATGTGGTATGCTTTGGATCATGAGGTGTTTCACACCTTCTCCGTATTTTTCTCTAGCCATCATTCTGGTAGAGGTTGATCTTGGTTTCATCTGTCCAAAGAAGGTTTTTCCAGAACTGTGCTGCCTTTTTTAGATGTCCAACCCAGCCTTTCTATTGTTGAGGTCTTGTACCTTGCAGTGAACCGTCTGTATTTACTTTCACACACTGTTCTCTTTATGGTAGACACGGATATCGATACACCTTCCTCCTGGAGAGTGTTGTTCACTTTGTTGGCTGTTGTGAAGGGGTTTCTCTTCACCATGGAAATGATTCTGCGATCTTGCGGAGTTCACCAGTGCTTTCTTTCTTTCAGGATGTGCCAAACTAGATTTTGCCGCTCCTAATATTGTAGCAGTATCTCAGATGGGGTTTTTGTTGTGTTTGCAGCTTAAGGATGGCTTATTTCACCTGCATGGAGAGCTCTTTTGACTGCATGTTGTCTGTTCACAGCAAAATCTTCCAAATAAAAGCACCACACCTCAAGTCAGGCCTCTATGCTGTACATAACTTTTTATATAGCTGTCTGTCACTTCTTGTTTTGTCCACCACTTGAAAAAGTACCCAAACTGTTTCATCTTTGGCAGTTTTCATTGATTAAACTTTCAGAAAGCCTGGAGAATTACTGCTCAAAGCCAGTTAAAAAATCTTTTTACAAGAAAGTCTGGCTGCTTGCACGTGAAACATAAAGAAATGAGGGGTGGATCTAAACTTTTCCACAGCGCTGAACTTCTGCAAATCACATCCAGATTGACTCTCTTACCCATCTCTCCCCTCCTCACCTCGGACAATGAGCTCACTCCGGTGTTCCACAGCAGCAGCCTGATTCCGTGCGATGCAGGTGTAGTTGCCGTTATGCATCAGTGTGAGGTTAGAGATACGCAAGGAGCTGGTGAAGTCTATGTTGTCTATGGTAACGCCCAGGCTGGCCGGGATTGGCCGACCATCCTTCTGCCAGGTGATGAAGACGGGCTGGTCACCAGACATAACCACACAGGGGACGAAGACTCGCTGGCCGATGGAAAACCGGGGAAACTCAAATGGTTGGATGGTGGGCGGGACTGTAACAGAGACGGGAATATTGCTTCAGGCCTGCGGGTTACAGGTTGTTTAATTTCAGCCAGAGCTACTGAAAATCACTAACCACTCATGCACATTAATAATCAACACATTAACATACTATACACCGCGGCTGAGCTACTTTACAAAACACTCGCATAGCAACTCATTAGTCCCAGTTCTCTCTTTATCACCTTATTTTCCACATTAAGCTGTGATTTTTCAGGAAAGCAAGAAATATTTTATTAGCTCGCCTCATGTGGAGCAGCTGAAGCCTCTCAAAACATAAGCATATAGCATTCACTCTCACTCGGCTCTCTGGGGACACTGTAGCCATCGTGAGAACCAGATGCTTTGAAAAATTAATGATTTAAAATAACATTGGAATAAGCAGCACTTCAGCGCTTATTTAATTCACAACAAAATAAGCATAATAGGTTCCTGGGGATTCCCTCTCGGCAGCGGTGGAATGCTAAGCAGCTGAGAGGCAAATTAGCCAAGGTGGAATAGAAGTGTCGCTTTGTCTATGCTGTGTGATTTCCCCCTCAAACGCTCGTTAGCACGTCAAGACCAGTGAGAGTGGGTGGTGTGGGGGGGTGGGGATCGGCCCATAGGACAGTTGAAATTATGCTGCATCACTGAAGAAAGAGAGCCATCGGAGGTTATCATCATCTGGCTCTTCTCAGTCCTGCTGCATATTCAGATGAGCTCCAGATAAGCTGGCTGGGATGATGGAGATGGTGCCTTGCTATCAGTGATGTGAGTGCTTTTTTCATAGGTAGTGATATACAAATATCACTCTGCATATCTGTGTTTTCTGCAACGAGGAAAGGGGGCATACACCTCCGATGGAAAGGCACTACGGGGTCAGTGTGTACACCGATAAAGCCATTCCCTTTGAATTGCAAAGAGATTAATGACAGCGTAACCACAAATGTATTCTGCAAACACAGAGTACAACACAGTACCGTACAAATGCCAACGTACATCTGAAACAGCTGCTTATTGGCCTCGCAGATGGGTAAACGTGATGATGTCGCACAGCTAAATGAACGAAATCTTGTTTTACTGGACCAAATATAGAACGAGTCCCGTGCTGTCTGTCTGAAAATCAATTAGACTGTTTCATACCTTTCACTGTAACGTAGACGCTCTGGTGTGTGGACAGCTGTGGCTGCACCAGCACATTACACGTGTATTCTCCTTCATCCACCTCCTTCTGCACGTCAAACAGTTTCAGGGTGCCGTTGTTCTCGAAGGCCCGCTGTCGGTGGTTGTACGGCAGCAAATTGGAGTCCTTGTACCACTTGATGGAGTAGTAGGGGTAGCCAATGACACGGCAGTGGATGTACATGTCCCGCCCAGCGATGGCAGTGAGGTTTTTCATTGGTCTGATGCTGGCAGGCCCTTGAAGGACACATTGGAGAGACAACTCTCTTAAAATGATTTTGAGGTGGTTTGTGGTGTGAAAGTTAGCTTTTCTGTGTTTTGTGTGTTTTTAAGACACCACAAAGTTGTACATGCCTCGATTCACTCTGATACTGTCACATAAAAAATGACCCAGATGTGCGTAGGGGTTACAGACTGCTCGATTAAGCGAGAAGGACCGTAAAACACAAATGAGACTACGAATCATCACAGGGTGGACCGTTCTGCTGTTCTGTTCGCGTCACATCCTGCTTTGCCAGATTCAGGGATTGGTGCATCTTTCTGTTTGAGACTGTAGTGAATATTACCTTTTGCTCCCACCTCTTTGGTGCAGGCTGTGATTGCTTCTGACAAGCATTAGAGTCGAATGTTCGCTTTCTCCACTCATGAAGCTATTATCAAAGCCATTACTCACGTTGCCACCTTTTGTGCACACTTGTGAAAAACCAACAGAATAACCAATAGGCTTCCATAGCTCAGTGTCTATCAGGGAAATGGACTATTAGGTGTCTCTTTAAAGCACTGGAGAAGACAGTTTAACTAGGCTCTGCAGTGTACTTGGAATACAAGCGTATCCTGGGTTGCTACTCTCTTTAGCACGATTAAGGAGCCAATGACGTGAGAAGCAGTCATTACACGTTCTCCGCGTTGGCACCTGTGGAGATTTATCTTCATTGCTTGGCTGCATTTGGCATCCATGAACCCTCGCTTAAGGGCTGGAGGATCGCCCTATTTAGCCCCACAACATGCAAGACTGAGCAGCAATCAAATCCGACCAATCTGTACAAAGAAAGCAACATTCCCTCTCTGCAATAGAGAAATAATAATGTTCTGGAAAGCACGGCAAGCTTGAGCGCCCCAGTGTCACTACATGACAGCAGCAATTCAGCAAGCCATGTCCCTGTAGAATGCATATAGCAGTACAGTCAACAGTAATAACTGTCCTGATATAGAGATGGTGAAATCCAAACGCAAAAATACCCCCAAAAAACTGGAAAAGTGGAAAGATAACAGGAAAAGCATCTTCTGGGCGTCTTGCTATATTCTGAGGAGAAACAGAGCCAAGCTACGCTATCAGATTTAAAAGTATGTGAAAAGCTAGAAACACGACAGCACAATAAAACCTCTTTCATCACGTGCGCTTTTAAAGTAGCCAATCAGAAATGCGTCAAAACAGAGTGACTCAAGGCATGTCGATGTGTATATGTGATGGTGTGTTGGAAGAGTTGATCTGACAAGCACCTCTTACGTTTATTCGCGCCTGGTAGGAAACGGTCCCAGCTGAGTTGTTGCAGATGCAGCGGTACACTCCTCCATCGGGGACTTGAGTCTGGCTGATGTTCAGATGACTCACCACGTGGCCCTCGGCATTGGTGTAGTAGGAGATGCGATGGCGGCTGTCCCGTACCACGGGCTCATCGTCCAGAGTCCACGTTACCCGCGGCTCTGGCGTGCCCTTCACTGTGCACGACAATGACACAAACTCGTTGACGTTGTAGACCTTCTCGCTGAACGAAGCCAGAATTTTGGGGGTGCCATCTGCACAGAGGGAGAAAATTCACACGGTGATGTATATTTTGTTGTTCCCCTCATAAGGGATGCATGTCAATTCATATCTGATGCTTTTGAATGAGAATCTTGTCCAAATCTGCACTTTTAGTGGAAAACATGCACATCTCCAGTATAAAAAGCAGTGTCAGAATGAGGAGCAGATTAATCCAGCTCCTCTCTGGCTCCACAGCATTATTGATTATCAATATTCCCCTTATAGTACCCTGGTTATGGGAGACACTGCAGCAGCAACCAGCTCATGTACAGCTCAAGGCTTTTCAGAAAATCTTATAAAAAAGGGCTGGGCCCTGCAGGATTGAGCTTCACACAGCACAGTCTGGACTTGCATATGCATAGATACACACAATTGCTGTGCACACAAAACCAAAATGGTGCACACGCACTGCTCCCACCCACACGTCTCACTGTGAATTCTGACCTTCCAGTATGACTTGAACAAAGTCCTGGGCAGACATCTTGCCATGTCTGGCAAAGCACTGATAGGCTCCTCCGTCACTCTTGGCCATGCCAGCCATGACCAGGTTCTCTCTGTTTTGGCCTGTCATGCGGACACTGTTACTGGGGTAGATGAGTTCTCCGTTGCGATACCAGGACAGCTGATACTCCTCGGAGCCCGTTACACCGCAGGACAGTGAAACCTGGCTTCCCACGCTGCCTTTCACCTTCCGCGGACTCACCATGACCTTGAGGGGCTCTGTAGTTTAGTGGAGGTACCAAGTTATCATCATTAGATAGATGATAAAATGTAAACAAAAGTGCTTCACACTTAAAAAGCAAAAGAATCTGCCTCTTTTGATTCGTTGCTCCATAATAAAAAAAACTCCACAGCCTTACTTAGCACCATCACAAGGACACTGACCTTTTACCTGCAGCCTGCCAACCACCTCGGCATTGCCGTAGCCATTCCACACCTCACACACATACGTCCCTGTGTCACTGGGCTGGGTTCTCTCTATGAGCAGGCCTGTCACACTCTGTTTGAAGCGCGAGTCTGTCTCCAGCGGGCGGTTGTCCTTCAGCCAGCGGTATTTGGGTACAGGGTGACCAGAGGCCTTGCAAGGGAGCTCCACTCGATGAGATGCCATCACCTCACGGCGCTCAAAGCTATCCAGGATGTGGGGTGCAGAATTGGTCGGATCTGCGTGGGTTCAAAAAGGGTTAAATGCAGCACAAGGAGTTAAAAGTGGAAAAGTGTTTAATCGTGAACTCATGAGTAGCCAAAGGAAGAGAATGGGATTTTTTAAATTTTAGTGTAATGGCTCTAGTCCCCCCCACCAGTAAACATGGTACAACCCTGCCTATCTTGTGAATGAATGTCTTACAAACTAAAAATACTGCATCAATACTCTGAAACCTGCAGAGTGACTCTTTAAATGGTTTTGGAAAGGAGGGTATTTTTCTATCCTGAAGTCCTCCCCCAAACTGGAGAGTTCTCATGGCCTTTACTGCCTGTCACCCACTCTTTAGTTCAAGGGTTTTTATCCTGTCGCCCTCCGTTTAATTCAACTGACCAACATGTTTTTTTTTACAAGCTCACATTTATTTCCATATGGTCCTCTCACATGCAGTCAGTGTTTCTGAAGGCACACTAAATCAACAGCAAACCCTATCTGACTGTGTCATGGTGATTCCTGTCCTTGTGTCTGATTACTTGTCTTGTGTCATTTTATCCAACAGTGTGTGGTATCACCAGCTGGTATTTGCAACACGTTAACCATATTATTCTAAACTGAAATCAAGGCAACAGACTGGGACATTTTTAGAGGGTTTACCTGCTGTTACTGACATATGCTGGGGCCGATGTGAATGCCATTATGAAACTTTTATCAGATCAAACACACCGCAGTATTGAAACTCACACACTGATTACCTTAAGCTTTAAATATGAAACTTGGAAAAAAAAATCCCATCGCATATCAGCTGTTGGTTGTTGTTATGCAAACAGCTGTGTAGTGTAAATTTGACTCTTTGGCCATCTGTTTAACGCAGAAAAACACACTGTTGGTTGTTTTGGCATGATTTCAATTAGCCTGTGCCGGGTAAAGGGCTTAAACCTGCATTCTTTCTTTCTAACGGTCTGACAGATACCATCAACAGTATAAGCTGTCATTGGCATCTTGGTATCTCCCGTCACTGTAACAGTAAAAACAGTGAAATCAGCAAAAACTTCATATTACCCACAGTTTGTTATGAATCGTCTTCAAACTTCACAACAATATACGAACAATATACTAGGCCTTAGGGGACATGATTACCCAGGTTGGCTAAGCATTTGACTTTGACCTTCAGAGTCAAAGTTAACTTTGAAAAAAAAAAACCCAAAACAATCATATGAAAGGGAGAGAAAGCTGTTAAACCCCATTTTTATTTCTTCAGTACGATGCTTTACGTCTCAAGTTTTTACAGCTTAAATAAGCCAAAGATTTCAGCCGATTCTGCTCCAGTCATATGGGTAAAGATAATAAAATACACTATTTTAGTATGTAGTGCTTCAAGGTCATAGGTAGGCCATGAAAATCTTCAAACATTAAAGCAATATATTAGACCTTGGGGGACATTAGCACTTTCTTTGTTTGACCTCTTTAAAACATTTTTCCAATACAACCTTATATGACACAATGATACAGAACGATGAATATACTACACAAGATGCCCATATTAACAATGCTGACATCGGTATAAAACACTGCAGGAAGTTGTGCTTTCCGAGTGTTCGTTTTATAAAAATACATTTGGTTGTATCAAATCCAGGAAAACTTTCATGACCTATGACCTCAGTAAACATGCTGGTGAAGAGTTTAATTTTGCGGTTGCTAGTTCTGAGTCACTACTTTCAAGCCTTATTGAAAACATACTGATGTTCATTTTGTATGTTACAGGTAGAGTCAAAAAACAACGAGCAACCTAGTCACTGGACAGAGAGCGTGCAGTATCGTTTCGTGTCTCAGTGCGATTACTCCAAATCAATCTGATCTACAAACACAAAGATGGAGACGGTAAAAACGCTCATCTTAACGTTTCACAATGAAACCAACCAATATATATGCACATAATACAACTCTGTAGTTTTTTGCACCGTGAAACAAGTGACCATTCAACCCAGAAGTGCAGCTTAATATACAAGCTAATATATATCAAGCTGCAGAACTTCCTATTCATTCTAATTGTGGTATCCCCCTCTCACCTGACACAATGAGGCGGGCACTATTGCTCTGTCGGGTTTCTCCGGTGTACTGATGCCGTGTCATACACCTGTAGTTGTACAGCCCGTCTTCCATTTGCACATCCAGAATATACAGGGCTCCCGTGGATGTGATGAGAAACCGTTGCACTGGAAATGAAAAGATAAATAAAACATATTAGGTGACGTTACCTACATATAAAGAAAGCAAAGCAACATCTTCAGTGAACACCAGTAAACTACATGTGGGCCAGTTAGTACCAAACACGTCACTTTCATGTGACCTGTAAGTATAGCCTGTGGTCAGTCCGCGTGATGTTAAACATTCTGGAAAATCTATCTGTGGTTTGCTTGTTCACTAGACGGCAGAGTGCAGACTCTCCTCAGAACGCATTAATCTCAACTGAGCTTCACTGTTTGCAGCAACAAGACTTGAATCAAAATACTTATCAAGAAAAATCACTAGATAGAATTAAACCACAGTTTTTTTTATGTTTAGTCAATAAGTTTTTTTTAACTGTCTCAAAAACTGTTCATGAAAGTACAGGATCAGTTGCCTCGGGGTTTTCATCACAAGCGACGGTTAACATTTTGTACCAAACACAGCGCAGCAGTAATAGGTGTCAGTAGAGAAAGCATGCTGCGTGTATTCATTTTTATGCGCTGGAATAACCACCTTACACATTCAAAAAGAATGAAATAAAGAAAAGCCAATATTGAAGTCTCTAAGCAAATATTTGCAAGTCAAGTGAGGAACGCAGCTCTGTGTGATTGTAGTCACCAAACATCTGCTGCAGCCCATTTAGCTCAGCTAAATCAGCTCTGAGGCGCAGTGACAAGGCTGTGTGTTGTATAGCGGTGTAACACAGCTCGTTATCATGTAGCTCATCGCTCTCTTCCCTCTCTCTCGGGGGAAACGCTCTGTCTTTCTCTCTTTCTCACTCAGGTTTTCGCTCTTTTTTTCTGATCCAGACTAAAGCACGGGGAGCCGGGGATCACAGAGTGCTTTGATAAGGCATGGATGTGCAGGTCGGATGTGCTAATATCATGCTAATGTAATGCTAATTTGTGTGAACACATGGAAGTAGAGAGAGGTAGTCAGTGTTTCTGAGGAGCGATGTGTTCTGTAGCCGGTGGCTATCGGGGTATTTCATGTCACAGATGATGGAAGAGCCTATCTGGTTTGGGCATCAAATAGGGCCGCCGTACGGTGGGGGATTCTGGCAGTATTGCTAGAGATATAATAATGCATGCTTTATGGGATGTTGAATCTTCTCATTTAGTCTTGTCATGACACATTAACACAGGTTTATCCTGCTGGCAGAGGCCTTTGCATTGAGCGTGCCTAAAATGATGGAAAAAGGTCTGAAGGTCTTAAGACAATCTCTGAAACGGCTCAGAAATAAAAATAAAAAAAACCCCTCAAATTATGGCAAATATTAGGAAAATGACACATTGTCCGTACTACTGCCTACATTTATGTAGAAGCAAAAAACACCCAAAACATTTATCATAATTTAGAAATAAATGATTGGTACCGAAGACAGAGGTGTTGCAATAAGAAAGGTGTGAATGTGAGTACAGAGGGGAGAAAACAGAGAAAGAAAATGGGGAATACACAAGGGAGGGTGGCCAAGATGCTATTGTGAGCAAATGTTGACCTAGATAGAAAAAAGAGACCAGGGCATCGATATCCTGAAGAAGTTTTTTCCTTGCTTGTGGTTGAGCTACTCAACCAGTGATACAACTGAGAGACACTGGATCCATGTGTGTGTGTGCATGTGTGGTCCTTAGTTACTTAAGCATGGAAACAAGCCACGACACATCGTCAAATTAAAACTGCAATGCAGTTGCTTTTTAGGAATGAAATCATTCAGAGAAAGCAAAGGAAAAATTAGGTGTAGGCTAAGTCTTCTGCAGTCCCTCTCTCCTGTTTTCCTTCTTTCCCGCTGCAACTTTTCTGGCATCAAAAGCTGACAGCCTTATGAATGAGAGGAGCTTTCATTAGAACAGACTGCCTGTCACTATGACAAAAGGCTAGGAAAGGAGAGCACATGCTTTAAATGCACGTGGAAAGAGACACATACACACATGTACGTGGGTTTGTGTGAGCATTTATGGTCTTTAAACTATCTTTGGGTTATTTGTGAATTTCTCAGAATACAATCTGTCTTATTTAACAGATCACATACCTCTATACTGTGTGTGCCTCATATTGGAAACACTGCAAATGTCACTATTACAGTGAAGGAATATAAATTAAGATGAGAGGATACGCGCATCTGTCTGCTACCCAGACATTATCATTGGACTTGTGAAACCTTATAGTATGTCACAGTATTCAATTAGAAATACAATACATGTATTATTCTGACAGATAGCTACTGCAGTGCCAACCAGCCCTGTCTTAAATATTTGGAGTTAGTTTCTCCTGCACACCACTCCCTAGGTGCTGTCTTCAGTACATCTGCAAAATTATCTTGCAGCCTGATACATCTCCAGGACTCTCCTGCAGATATATCCCTGATATCCAGCATCACCCAGGCGAGGCATCGGGTCATACAGCTCACAGTTCTATAAGGGAAATTATTCCTCTGTAGGACAGATGAATAAAGATGGATGAGGAAAACAGGTAATAGTACTAAGTTAATGTGGCATTTTCATTTTTAATGGGCACCATCAGCCCTGTTGTGTTTTCAGCTTCTCATCTGAGAATTGAGTTTGACACCTAATCAGCCAAACATAAACCACACAGCTTTCACTTCACTGTACATCATCATCAAGCTTTTGAACATAAACCTTTTTACACTGCTACATTTAAAACTTAAACTCTTTCTATCTTTTAGAAACAGAGGTAGAGCATTCATGCACATCATGAAGTCCTGTGCAGCTGATCTCAGTGCTGGCCCACATCAGCCGATTGTTCAGATGAGATATCCAAATGTCCAACAGGGGCCGCTATTTAAGTTGCTCTAGCTTGCCCAACGTTGCTGCAAATCTGGAACTCACCTCCAACAATATCTAACTTAATCTTAACTTGATCTATCTCGTATTTGTTCTCAGTAACACCTGTTCTGCTTTGTACTCTGATCCTGTTGTTGCTCTCGTCAACTCTGGCTTTCTATTCATCCACACGGAGCAACAGGAAGGGGTGCTTTCCTCACCTTATGTTTTCAACATTTGGGACTCAGTATGGAAACGGGAGAGAAAACTTTTGTTATTAAGCTTTACATGCTCATCTCCATTTTGGAGGAAACAGAGGTGGCAGTCTGCTCTGTCCCTGTAACATCTGTCCACATCAAAGATGTCAAATGACACAGCAGCTGATGGATCAGACCAGGATGTTCAATGCAGCTTCTCTCTGTCTGTCCTGAAACATCATTTCTCTCTGGCTGACTCTGACTCAACAGCCTGTACACTCAAGAGGCTGATAACTGTTCTACAAGGAAAGTCCTTCGTTTATGACATTCAAACACCGAAACAGGATGCCTGTTTTAGTCTGTTGTACAGTCATCACACAACCTCACAAACGTCACAAGATATGTCTCCGATTAAATCACAGGGCAGCAGCCCCACATTCTACACAGAGTCCTGCACTGTGGAGCAAGCACAGAGTTAGAAACACCAGGTGATGTTTCTCTCTGAAGTGGCCATAAAAAACACACTTTACAGCTGTTTGTATGGAAGAGGTGTGCTGCATATAAAGTACTGCAGATGTAGTATTTCTGTATTCTGAATCTTCCAACACTTCTTAGTATTTTTTCAGCAGTAGGTAAATTAATGCGAATTAGGTATATATTTAGACTACTGGAAAGAAACAGAAGGTGGTGGCGGCTGGATTTTATTTAAATTACAAGAACTCTTCAGAGTCAGTGCGATAACTGATAGTGCTCTCGATTCTTTGTTAGCTCGTTCTCACTCTCAACAACAGAATATAGTGCTCAACACAGAGCTGGAGGCCTCTATTAGCATATGTGCATGTCCTTATAACCTGAGACCATTTCAGTGTTCGCTTATACTGCAGTTATCTCATATCCCACTGGCTTGTGCATATATTAAACTCTTTATGAGCATGTGCTTGTGAGTATACATGTTTCTATGCATGTGTACATGCAAGGGAGTCCTAATGTGTTTAAGCTGTGTACAGCTGCAAGGAGGAATGGTCAATAATAATGATCAGAGGTGCACCGCTATTCCTTTCTCCTCTGAGTTCAGTCTAATGCATACTAACACCATCTAGCAGACAGCCTTTCCTGTTCTGTCCACATCTGCGTTTATTAGTTTATATTCCAAAACTATGGCTTCACTTCACCCCAGGTGGCTTCCACAAATATCAGCCATTTCCTCTTCCCTTCGTCACCCCGTTCAGCTGCTTTGGCATCATCAGTGGCACAAACACAAGCCCTTTTCTGTGGCTGCAGACTCATTAGCTTCAATCAATCCTCTGTAAGGAGACTATTTGTTCACTCAGACTGGTAGCTTTTGCAGTATCAATGAAACTTAAATTGCTTGTGGGACATAAAAACAGAAACAGCCAGAATTATATTCCTATTACAATGCAAGTGTCACACTTTTCACCAAGGAGAGTTTGCCCTGGGCCAGAGATGTCACCGCTGAACACAGGTTAGTGTGTGCCAGGGACTAAGAATAAAGGATTTGTGATGAGGTGGAATACAATGACACATGGTGACATAGCTAAGCATTCACATCTACTGAGTGACATACCCCAAAACATACACTTAAAACTGTGAGTTGGCCTGGCTCTTTCAGTCATTTCCTCCATCCGTCCATCAGTTTTCTGCCACTGATCTGCAGTCACGACGCAGTGGTAGTCTAAGCAGAGAAGCCCAGACCTCCCTATCCCCAGTCAGCTCCTCCAGCTCATCCGAGAAACACTGAGGAGTTCACAGGGCAGCTGGGAGATGCAATTTCTCCAGCATGCCATGCTTTCCACTAGAACATGCCTCGCTCTCACCCAGGAAGCGCTCTTGTCCGATTTGCCTCAGCTGACTTGTTTTGAAGGAATAGCAACTGAACTCCTCACCTTATCACTAAGGCATATTCATATTTCATTTCTGCTGCTCACATGGGTAGTCTCATTCTTTCACCACAACCCAGAACTCATGACCATGATGGGAATTCTTTGCAGC